TGGACATCTCTGGATCCGCCCCTGCTGCTCATATTGTGTAGTGGCTCCAGACATTTCCCGAAAAGGGTTTGCACAATTTTGACAGGGGGTCTGAAAAATACCCAAAACCGTTGGTGACTGTCTGAACGGATCGCGATTTCATAATAGAATCGCGTTGGCTGCCGACGCCGACGATACGAAGAGGGAGCGGACCTTAATTGTGAACAAATCCTGACAGGTTTTTCCGAGTATTTTCAATCTTAGGAAGGTCTGCAAAGCGAACACACCAAGCGAAACCTACTCTTAACCTGCATTCGCATCGGATTCGAATCGAACTTTTTCGAAGCGCTGAACGCCAGAATCACTATCCTTACACACTGATTCGATTTTAAAATCGGTTTGGTAGGCTCTCTGGTCCAAAAATTCAGATTCGATGTTAATGCATAATTATACAAAAAATAGTACCGTACGCTCTATAGGAGATTATTACTGTAATGTGTTTACTTTTGTTGAACAATTTTTTTTTGCTGTAGTTCTGTTCATAATAGTGTCGTGTATATGTAACACGCATTGCAATATTTTATTAGGTTACGTGGGAGCTATCGGAGAGCCAGGACCACCTGGTGAGCCTGGTCCCCGTGGATACAAAGGAGATGAAGGTAGTCAATGATTATGATGATAATGACGATTATGATAATGCTGATTATGATGGTGATGATTTAGATAATGATGTAATGAAAGCAATAATGACAAATAATGCTGCTGATAATGATGCCGATAGCGATGGCAGGTTTGATGATGATGATGATGATGATGATGATAATAATAATAACAATAATAATAACAATAATAATAATAATAATAATAATAATAATAATGTTGATAATAATTATAATGATGGTAATAATTATTATAAGTACGATATCGACAGAGATGGTGTTCTAATAATTAGGATAGTGATGGTGGGAATAATGAGGACAATGGTGGTGATAAAAATGGTTATTGCCATAAAATTGTAATTTAGATCTAGGTCTTGTAACCGGCAATATTTAATTGTTTATATTTCAATAATTAAAGGAGAACCAGGCGATCCAGGTAAACGGGGCGAACCGGGACCACAGGGACTCACAGGTAAGTTTATTACAGACACGTTGAATAAAACGCTAATTAATAACTGCTAAATCAAACGTTTCTAGTTGCATCAAGAGAAATTAGATATATTAGTGCTACCAGTGTTTCATGTTAAAGTAGATATAGAATTTCAATTTCAAACTAACTGTGTAAGAGATAAAAATGCAAAACAATAATGTCAATTTTTAATGCTTTGGGGATTTATTTAATTATTGTTCTTAATTTTACTTCAGGAAACTTTGGTCCTAAAGGAGGCAAAGGGGCAAAGGGAGAACGTGGTCCTGTTGGTTTCTATGGTAGCAAGGGATCGTCAGGCCCACCCGGTAAGCCAGGACCAGACGGTAAACGAGGTTATACAGGTGTTGTTGGGCCTCAGGGACCACAAGGAAAGACAGGAGAAACAGGCCGTAAAGGACCAAAGGGATCTTGCTGCGCTTCACCACCATCTGAGCCAGGTGAAAAGGGAAAACCGGGGGATAAAGGTGATCCAGGTGAAGTTGGGCCAATTGGAAAGCCTGGGCCTAAAGGTGCAAAGGGAGAGCGCACTCCGTCCGTTCCTCCTCCGCCTCCGCTGACTGGTGCTCCTGGCACTTCTGGTCCACCTGGCCCAGCAGGCGCCGTCGGCCAGAAAGGTGAAAAGGGAGACGCTGGATTGAAAGGAGAAAAAGGCAAGGATCCTGACCCGCCTATCAAAGGAGATGCTGGGGAAAACGGTAAGCCCGGAAGACCTGGAAGCAGAGGCCAACCTGGCCCATCTGGGCCATCTGGACGCCCAGGGAAAATCGGACGAAAAGGCGTGACTGGAAAAGTTGGGCCCGTCGGAGAACCAGGTGCACCCGGGGTACCGGGATCCGCAGGTACACCAATTTTGTGTTCACTTCTAACCATTTCTAACATGTTAATTTTATTATGATCTCAGGGGTGGGCATAAAAATCGGTTGGAGAGCCAAAGTGAATTTTTGAGTCTGTAGACTCGACAGACATAAAGATTGCAATATGTTAATATATAATACAGACACTATATAGTTTTGATAATAAGCTAAATTAACTAAAACGGTCCATTTTAATGCCACATTTTTATTTACTCATCAATACTTACTCTAATTTCACAGGCTCAGCCGGAGCGACAGGAGAACCGGGAAAACGTGGTAGGCATTAGAGACTTTGTGTATGATAGGCCTATAATAAGAAAAATGATAATGATAACGATAATGATAATTATGATTATGATGAATGAAAACGATAATGATGATGATCTAATGGCGGAAATGATAGTAATAATCATAATATTGATAATAACAAATACATAGGTAGGTTTAATCAAATTAGACCGAATAATAAATAACATATATAGTATATTAGTAATATAATATGATTAATCGTAATGTATAAAGTTGTACCTACAAATATAATCTGATTGAATACACACAATTAATCAAATTATAATTCATAGGTATCTATTATATTCATCATAATATAATACGGTAGTCCTGCGACATATAGTTTGATTGAGTGTGTGTAAATAGAACGTGCCGTCCTATTGGTTTTCATATAGGCCTAATCGCTTTCCCTATCGGTGACAGTCGCTGACAGTTGTCGGGAAGGTGAAACCTGGTTGAACTTTGCCGATTACTTTGCATACAAATGGCGTTTCCGCTAAGCTCCGCCCTTGGATATTGTTGCTAAGGTCCCACGAGACGGCAGTGTTAAAACATACGCGAACACGTGCGT